TATATATATATATATATATATATATAGCCATTCTATATATATTAAAAGTATATATACTAAAATAATTATTAATTAATTGATAAAAATACTGAAAAAATTATTTTTACATAAATAATTCTGTATAATATTAACTTTTAATTTTTGTTGCATATCTGCAATTTGTTCTTTCCATAATCGTTCTTTTTCTTGATACACTTTTACTACAATTTCTTCATTCTGCGCCATTGTTGCTCTAACATTTGTCAGCTCATTTTCTTTATCTCGAATTATTGTCTTAAAAGTATTTCAATTAAAGATCAAATTAATTACTGTAAATTGTAATATTTTTTAAGTATAAATAACATTCAAAATTGATTTCTATTCTATTTTATTTTGCATGCTAAATTATAAAATATGAATATTTAGTAAAGAAAAAAAATTATGACAGCAAATACAACCTCATAATCAACAATGCCAGAATCACTTGGTGAAGGTGTGACATGGATTCCAGAACTGTGGTGACTATCAGAGGAAGCGTTTGAGCCATAAAGTTGATGCGAAGAAAGACATTTCTGTAAATATGCAAATATTTGTCTTCAAATATATTACTGCATAACTTTGCTTGCAAATTATTATAAAATATCCTTGCAAAAATTTCCAAAACTACAAATTTATAAAATTGTACACATTATTTATCTCTTTGAGGAAAAAATTTTTAAGAAAAATTCAAAAATTGCTAAAATTTCTTTTGTGTGAAAAAGAATTTTGTATAATATTTGCAAAGGTAAGTTAAAGCTACATTAAATTTTTATTACTGCAAAATCGTAAAAATCACTAAAATTTATAACTGTTGGCGAAAACTGATAAATGATTATGATTATGGTGCTAAAATCTTATCACTTCAAATATATCGTAACATGAAGGAATTGTGACTAGAATAAGTACATGCTGAATAATAACTTAAAATTATGCTGGTCACTTATTGTACTCTCAAGTATTTTTAAGTATTTTTAATGATAAGAATGATAAATTCAATTTTATCATCATCATCGAAACACTAAAACTAAACTGATAATGAAAATTAATTACTAAAACATAATTATATCAAACAAAATGAAATTTAGCAATAAAAATTCAAAATATTAATTTATTAGCTACTAATTTTATTGCTCTGAATTCTAATAACCATTTATACATCTTTGTCTTTCAGTCACGAACTTCTGCAAATTCTAAAATAAGACTAGTCTCTGTAAAATATATACTAATACTGAAAATAATGCCAGATCTATCTCCTGTTTTCAGAACAAATATGCTAATTACAATACAGGTCAGTTTTTTTCACTTAAACCTTTAAAAATACTTGTTATGGAAGAAATTTGTTCTCATATATATTAAAATAAAGCTAATAAACTGACCTTGACAAAATTTTGTGGCGATTGTTCAGCTGCTGTATTATTAGGTGCTGAATTACCATTTTGCTGTTGTTGTTGAAGATGGTGATGGTGATTATAATGATGGTTAATTTTATTACGATTAATGTTACCACTGATGCTGTATATTGAATCTCCTCCCGCAGATGCACCACCTGGAAGATTCAAATTGTAAGAAGCTGAATTTCCATCACAATAATTTTGACTGGTCATCGAACTTTATAGTTAATCAATCTTTTGTAATTATTAAAATTTCAGCAGCTAATACTAGTAATGAAATCAAAAAATTCCTCTTAATATCTTTTAAATTATATTTTGCAAATTAAACTGGTCTTATTTTAGACTAGTCTTATTTTAGTCTTATTATTAGTCTTATTTTGGCAAAAGTAACTACAAGATTTGAAAAAAGAAACCTTAAAGAAGTAATTATTATTATTTTTACTGTTTATATGCTTTGTTAAGGTTAAAATTGTTCCAATTTACTAGTTTTATTTTATATTCAAAAAACTTGAACTACTAAAAAGTTATTACAGTCCAAATACTCAAAAAAGACTATTATAGTTTCAATAATTATAAAGTATCTTTCTTGTTCTTGTTCTATATATATATATATTTTACAAGTTTACTAAAATAAATATTATGAAGTAATTAATTTTGAATATATTGGAAATGAATAATTGTAAAAATATTCTCATTAAAAATTTCATTGGTAATGCATAATATCTCTATTTTCTTCTACATAATTTTTCCAAATAACTTTTTTGATTTTATTTGAAATTAGTTTTGATCTTTTCAAGTCAATGATTATTCATATCCAGCCTTTAAGATAGATCATAATTCGAATTAGCAATTTATAACTTTAACAAGTAACCATTAACGTGGAACTTTTCTTGTTCTATGTATTCGGGCACAACATCATAATCATTATCCTCCGTTTCAATTTCATTTGATCTGTTGTGCGTGATCATTTCTGAGCTGTAAATTAATTACTTGAATTTAAAATATTTTTGTATCAAAAAATACTGTACACTCTTGCATATCTATTATTAAATACAGTACAAAGAATTGTGTTGTTTTTTCTGGCAAACAATTATCAGAAAGTAATCGTTGAAATAAGTAAACAAAACTCCAAAGAAGATTCTGCTTTTTTTATATCGTATTAATCATTTATTTTGTGCAGCAATAAGTAGTAAGAATGAGATTTATTTGATTAGATGGTAAATATGAAGTCAAATGTCAAAGGTGACTAAATTAAATAGTTCAATTAGAAGTACACACCTAGTCGATGGTTGATAAACAGCTCGAGGTCTGTTGCTAATACTGTTGAATGCTGGAGGTGATGCTGGATTGCGCATCAAATATTTCGCATGCTCCAAAGATTGCTTAAAGTTATCATTGCTGCAAAGCACAACAAATAAATACATATATTATTTATTAAACTTAAAGCAAGAATAATTGTTTAAAATTATTTAATATTCTCAAAAATTTTTGAAAAGTAAAACTAGAAAGTAATTTTCAACGTAACTGTAATACTTTCAAAGTAAGGAAAGTTTTTTACTTACAAAAATTTATAAAAAGACAGTTCTTGTGATGATTAGCAATTATCACAATTAAAACTAGCAAAAGTAATTGAAAGTTTAACGAACTTCGACAATCGTTTCGTTATCATATTATCATTGAATTTTCTACTTCTGTTGTCATTACAATAAGCAAAAGACGATAAAGTGGCTGTTTGTCGATTTTTCGAATTACGTGACACAAATGGACGAAACGCTACGGGCTTGATAATGTCTAAATTCTGAAAATTAAATGCAATTTAGTGATTTAATCAAAATAAGGAATTAAAAAATATTTTAAAATAGAAATTAAGTTAATTTAATAATTAATCAAGTGTAATTCGGTGATTTGATCAAATTATTTGCTTTCTACTTTAATACAATCAAGAATTCTGACATTACATTAATTAGCAAATTAATCAAATTAAATCTAATCAGTAATTTGATTACAAAAATTAAGAGCTAAAAGTCAAATACTTTAGAGGTTATAAATCTGTTTTACTTTCTGTAAGCATTACAATATGCTAATATTACTAGCAATATCTCTGCTCGGACAATTCAACCTAATCAAATTTAATATTTTATAATTGTTTTGAAATATTTAAAAACAATGTGATCATTATTTTCGTCAATTTTATATGAA